ATGAACAAGTGGGACTATATCAAACTAAAAAACTTATGTAAAGCAAAGGGCACCATCAGTAAAACAAAAAGACATCCTACAGTATGGGAGAATATATTCATAAATGACATATCCAATAAGGGGTTGACATTCAAATTATATAAAGAGCTCATGCACCTCAACAAACAAAAAGCAAATAATCCAATTAAAAAAATGGGCAGAGGAGCTGAACAGACAGTTCTCCAAAGAAGAAATTCAGATGGCCAACGGGCACATGAAAAGATGCTCCACATTGCTAATCATCAGAGAAATGCAAATTAAAACCACAATGAGATATCACCTCATACCAATTAGGATGGCCAACATCCAAAAGACAGACAACAACAAATGTTGACAAGGATGTGGAGAAAGGGGAACTCTCTTACACTGCTGGTGGGAATGTAAACTTGTTCAACCATTGTGGAAAGCAGTATGGAGGTTCCTCAAAAAACTAAAAATAGAAATACCATTTGACCCAGGAATTCCACTCTTAGGAATTCACACTAAGAATGCAGGAGCCCATTTTGAAAAAGACATATGCACCCCTATGTTTATCACAGCACTATTTACAGTAGCCAAGAAATGGAAGCAACCTAAGTGTCCATGAGTAGATGAATAGATAAAGAAGATGTGGTGCATATACACAATGGAATTATTATTGGGCCATAAGAAGGAAACAAATCCTACCATTTGCAGCAACATGGATGGAGCTAGAGGGTATTATGCTCAGTGAAATAAGCCAGGCAGAGAAAGTCAAGTATCAAATGATTTCACTTATCTGTGGAGTATAAGAACAGCAAAAACTGAAGGAACAAAAGAGCAGGAAACTCACAGAACCGAAGAATGGACTAAAGTTACCAAAGGGAAAGAGACTGGGGAGGATGGATGGGAAGGAAGGGTAAAGGGGAAAAGGGGGCATTACGATTAACACACATAATGTAGTGGGCAGGGACATGGGAAAGGCAGTGTACACAGAGAAGACAAGTAGTGATTCTACAGCATCTTACTACGCTGATGGACCGTGACTGTAATGGGGTATGTGGTGGGGACTTGATAATAGGGGGAGTCTAGTAACCATAATATTCAAGTAATTGTACATTAACAATATCAAAAGAAGAAAAGATATGGCTTCCCATTGGTATTTTATTAAATATTTATTATATACTATTATACTACCAAAATATATAATGGGCTGGTTTTTTATAATATAAATTGAAGATACAAATTCAACTTGATCATGCCATGCATTGGGCTGTTATCTTATTCCAAGTGGGTGTTTGCTGAGTAGGTAAAATTTCTCATCCATTTGTGACCAATTACATTTATTTGTGAAATATCAAGGTGGGATTAGAATCAGAAGTTATATTTTACTATGATCATGGAAAATCATGAAGTTGACTCATTGGTACATGATCAAAACATGGTTTTATTAGTGTAATGCTTTAATTAAACAACTGAACCTCTGTGAGACATTTTGGGAGCCAAGGGCAGGTATCAATTGGAATGATACCCCTGGATGCTACCAAAGCCCACTTAAGACAAGCAGAGTCAGCTAGCCATGTTTGGATATTCCATTTGCATTGAAATACTATCATGAGCTGCAGATATTTGTGATGGCTTTTGTCTTATTTTGTGTCAGACATTTAAATGAGAGTAATTTGGTTGAATTCAAATACAAGTGATTATATAGCAATCACTGGCAATTATTTCATTAAAACAAAATTGGGACTATAAAATGACCATATTCCTGGGATTAAGCTATTGTATTTCTTTTTTCCCTCTAAATAGTTAACACAAATTATGCGAACTGGACAAAACACTTGGGAAAGTAAGAATATCCTTGCTGTTTCATTTGCTCCACTTGTGCAACCAAGTAAGAATGATAATGGCAAACCCGATTCAGTGGGACTCCGTAAGTAACCACTGGCCCTTTCTGACTGAGCTGTGACTTAATGTTGTTCAACTCTTGTGTGTGGGATTTAACAGATTATATTATTATGAAGAGTTAAATAGATATGCCATAATTTATTCAGTGGATCTATTATAAAACATTGTTTTTTTTTCTTATAAAGCCCCTACCTTGCTCCAAACCCTGTTAGCTGCCTTCATGGAAATGTGAAAAGAAAGGGCAGGTCAATCAAAAACTGAATTAATTATAGTTGTGAATTTATTCCTTAGATAAATTCGCATCATTTTCAATACATAGGGAGAGCAAATGCAAGCCTTTATTTAGACTGAAAAGAACTTGGTCATTCCAAGACCAGGAGTAAGTTTCAAGGTAGTTGAAGCTCACTGGGTATACTATAATGATAAATCATACAAGACCTTTCTTACACTTGAGGAGCGAGTCAGTGTGGATGTGGATAGAGTTGTTGGAAGGTAGAAAAATAGTGGACTACATAGGAGATGGTGGTAGAGGAAAATGAGGGATCTAAAGTTTTGCTTTGAGCAGCTAGCTAACAGCAGCTAGTGCCGTTGACTGCTATGTGGAAGATTGGGGTGGAAGAGTTTGGAAATAAGTGTAGAGGACAATCAGATACTTTATTTTGGCCATGTTTGAGTGTTTTGTTAGCATTCAAAGGTCAGGTAGTCAGAACCTGCTACACAAGGAAGGTGCAAATTGAGAAGCATCTGCACAGAGATGCACTGTGAACTAAGAATGGATGAGAACACTTAGGGGAGGGGAGGGTGGAGATAGAGCAAGGTATCAAGGTTGGATCTGGGGTCCCCCAAATTCGGAGGTAAATCACAAAGACATGTAAGCAAAGGAAGGGCGAGAGACATCGGAGGATAGCAGTGTGCACAGTGTGTTGAAAACCAAGAAAGAAAATATTTCAAGAGGAAGGGCATCGTCAGCTTACAGAGAATTACTGAGACCTTGAGGAAAAGAGATGAGAGTGGTATTAAATGACTTTCGATACTAATAAGTGGAGTTATTTACCAAAAATGAACTCATGCTTTAGGAAGTATCGTACTTTAGTTTGCATTTTAAATGAACTTATTTCATGAGATCCTGGCTTTATGAGAGATGTTATTTTCAGTGTTCATTTTACTCTCTTTTTTGAGCTATGTGATTTTTGGTCTCAGGGTGGTTTTGAGAATTATATGAAGCACTATTTATAAAGTGCCTAGCAAATAATAGTTGCTTAATAAAGAGTAGTGTTGGGACTTTGAGAGTAAATTATAGTAAATTACACCTGTTTTTCCTTGCTCATGTTCTTATCAATGGAGAGATGGACTTGGGTGTCAGAGAGTTAGTAATTGACATGTGAGCTTTTCTTACCAACCAAGTAGGTAGGAGAATGTGGTTTAGGTCAGCACCCCTAAGTCAGACAGACTTATACATCTGCAGGCAACTCCTGGCCATCCCTCCACCATATGAGTTTGCCTGAAAGTACACGGGTGAGCAGAGCATAATGTGAGTGCTTGTTAGTGGACATATCCTGGAGGAACAGAGAAGGAAAGGATGGACCCACACATGGCCAGCTGCTTCTTTCACACCCACAAACCTTCCAAGCCATTCCTGCTGCTGTGGTAGGAATGCATGTAGTGACACTGAGAGCCATGTGGCTCTGCCGTAGGATTCACTTGGAGGGTCCATGGTATGGAAGTCTCTGCCCCAGTCCCCGCGAGAAGGGCTTACTTAACTAGCACCCTTCTCTACAGGAGGCCTGTTCCCCCTCTTTTCTGAATTTGTAAGATTCATACATTCTGACACAGTGGTCTTACTTTGGTCTCACTTAGAAATTAGGCATTCAATTAAAAAAAAATTTGAAACTTCCATAAATCAGGAAGTGTTATTGACCATTTTTTTCAAATATAATTATTGCTAATGTATGCTATTTACAAAAATGAGTTGAGTCAACATACACATCAAATCCACATAAAACTATGATGTAAGGAAACTTGAGTATAAGGACAATGAAAAATAAAATAAGAATAATTAAAAATACAGAGGAATATCAAAAAACATTCATTCTCTTAGAAATGTGAAGTTACTCTGCTGTAATGTTTAATTAAATTTCTTTCCAGCCTAGTCAAAGAGAGACAGACACATGCTGGGTGCGCTCTGGGACCAAAAGGGACTTGTTTCTTTCTAGCACCAGAATTAAGTAATTGTCACTTGTCTTCATATGCATTACACAGTTATTTCAATGAACTGCTTTTAGGAGACTGTGCACACACCGTCACATATATATACATGTGTGTATGTGTATATGTGGAGATGTATTCTATATATAACTATATATGCTCTATGATATAGGACACTAGTATTTTGCAGTTATTGAATACTTTTAAACTCCTTGCTAAAAGCATAAGAGTAATAAAGTAAAGCTGTTTTCTCCCTCCTATTTTCCAAATATAAGAATTATAATTTATTAATGACAGTTTTGGTTGGAGAGTCATAAAGAGAAGTCATGAAAAAGTTCCCTGGTACAGTTTGGTTTTGGCAGTGGCCTAAACCATAATGTAAGGGCGCTGATAACGCCCCCTATACATTTCTGGTCAATAGCTATTTCAGTATTTTACTTTGTAGCTGCCACTGTTAGAACCTTCAGCGTTCCTCTTTTTATCTGACACTATTCCTGTAGTTGCCTTTTGAGAGTCTTAGTTGTGAATGTGATTTTATACTAACAGAGCTATGAATGGCATGGATGATGATATGCTAAAAAGAGCAATTTTTGTTCTTCCTCACTTTCTGTCAACACGAATAGATATAGGTAGTTAATAAGACCACCATTGGTTAGATTGATTGACATAGCTGTGACTGTAAAGAAGGAATAAATTTGGTGGAAAAGGTTAAAATGAGGGGGAAGAGTCTAAATTAAAAAATGCCCCATCATAGCTCTGAAATATTTACAGGTGAAATGGTCTTTCGTAAATTTTCCATCAAAATAATCTGGGGTGGGGTGTGGGGAGGAAATGGGAATGTTGATGAAGTAAGATTAACTATAAGTAATAATTGAACCTGAGTGTCTATTTGGGTTCATTATACTATTGACTCTCTTTTTGTATGTATAGATTTGAAAATTTCTGTAATAAAAAGAAAAAAGTCATCAGCTACCAATGGCAATTTGTAAAAACTAGTCAGAAATTACAGTTTTTTAAAAAGTAATAAGAGTTTAATAGAGTAATGTTCACAGAATGAATAAAGTTTTATTTGTCAAAATTTAATAGTGTGGAGAATAAGAACAAGTTACCTTTTCTGTTAAAATAAAACTTTTCTGTTCTTTCTGTTCAGAGAACATTTCATTAATTATAGGGAGTTAAAATATGAAATAATGTTAATACCACAAAAACCCTAAAAAATGCAAATATATTTTGTAGTTATGAAATTCTAATATAAATAGTTACTAAATTGTATTTGTAACTTTTCCTCAAGTTCATCACTAATTTTTATTCAACTTAAAATCATAGTTCTTTTTTTGGTGTAAGATATTCCAAAAACTGCTTAAAAGGTGAGGGCAGGCCCTTTATAAGGGGTGAAGAAAAAATTATCATATCTTAAAGAAAAGTTTGCTCTATATACTGCCCACTAAGCACCCCTGTCATGCAGATGTGTGGGGTGTCCACTCCCAGCACTTCTTCAGTTGTTGTAGACACCAACTGGGTGTTCCCTAAGATCTGACTCAGTTCTAACACTAACCTATATTAGCACAGACCCCACAGGCTAAGTAACTATCCTGTAACTGCTCCTTCCTCTTCCAACTTCAGCCACCACTCTCAAGGTGAAGTTGTCACCTGGGTTTCTGACAGCCTGCTGTAAACCAGAGGTTCCCGTGACCTCCTCTGTGGGGAAGTTGGGGTTCCTATGGCCAGGATTCCTCACTGAATGTAACTGGCCTGTTGCTAGGCTACCGCTTCCACACCTTGAGGCAATAAACTATTATCGAGCTATATAGAGAGCTCCACCCAGTGCTCTGGGCGGAGGCAGGACGCTAGTGCTCGACCTACCGCTGGAGAACAAGCTGGGTAATAAACCCTCCTTTCACCCCAAAGGACGTTTTGCTGTCAATTTCTTTGGTCACCTTGAATCCATAGCGAACCTGCTCGGGGCTGAAACCCATTGGCAAGACAGCCTCTTAAAAACTTGATGTGTTGTCAGAGGCTCACAGAACCCAGAAAAAGTTTACTTACTACATCAACGTTTATTGTAAAGGATCCAACTTAGGAACATCCAAGACGGAGTTGATGCTTAGGGCAAGGCTGTGGGAAGAACTCAGGGCCTCCATGTCTGTCAGGGTGCATCACCCTCCCATCACCACCACAGGTTTGCTGCTCCAGATCCTCTCAGAACCCATGGATTAGGGTTTTCTATGTAGGCTTGATTGATTAAATCTTTGGCCATTGGTGGTTAGCTCACCCTCCATACACTCTCTCTACCTGGACAAGGGTGGGTAGGAAAGTTCTAGCCCACTAATCACCTGGTGGTGTCCTTGGAAGCCAGCCCAGCATCTTCTGGGGCTTAGCAAAAAGACATCTCATTAATATTCACATAAACTCAGGAGTGGTTGAAAGGAACTTCTTAGGAATAATAAAAGGCGCTCCTTTCACCTGTGTGCTCTTACTGCCTAGGGAATTCCAAGTGTTGTAGGAGCTCTGTCAGGAACTGGAAGCCAAATGTTTATTTCTTATTACAAATCACAGTATCAGAGGGGACAAAAAAAGACTTCATAAACTGGCACTGCACCACACTGAACTATATGAAACTGTTTTTGTAGGTTAAAAATTGTCAAAAAATAATTGGTTTTGTGGTTTGACTGTGTCTTGCTAATGGGTTTCAGCCCTGGTCAAGTTCACTATGGATTCAGTATGACCAAAGACATGACAGTAGAATGATCTTGGGGTGAAAGGGTTATACCCAACGTTATTTCCAGGTGACAGGTCAGTCACTAAAATCCTGTTCATTCAGAGCGAGTCTGCATGCAGCAAGCTGGTCTGTGCCTCTGGGTCTCTCTAGCTGCAGAGCTGTCCTCTGCACCTCTGTCTTCAGCACTGGCACCACTCCATCCTCTTCTCTGCTCTCCTGCAGCCTTGTAGCTGTGCCACCGGCTCGTGCAGAGCACTGGGCAGAGCTCTTTATATAGAGTCAGTAGCAATGTATTGCCCACACGTGTAGTGAGCTAGCCAGCCAGGGCCAGGTGAGAATCCTGGCCACAGGAACTCTTAATTTTATCCACACCAAGTAAATGACCTAAATGACCTTTTCAATCTTGTTAACAAATAAAAATGAGAGTGCTGACAGCTAGGGTCCTGTAAAGTCTATATCAAGACTGCCTTGTGGGAGACAAATAGGGCTTATGCATGTCCTGGAGATAACCTTAATTGTAATTTTGGAGTGAAAACTTCAATTCAAAGTAAGGTTTGATAGCAGTCAGGATTAGTATTGTCTGGTTTATTTAGTCCTTATCTCATAACTGAAAAAATAGGCAACAAGAGTGTTAAAGAAAAGAAGGCACTGGGATTTTTGAATAGGTAGAGCTGAGAATTATTTCAAAATTTTTGTATCCTTTAGAAGAACTTTTAGATGAAGCTCATGTGGATACTATTTGAGGACTTCAGAGTGAGGATTTAAGTCTGAATCCTTTTCTGCTCCGGGTCTTCTTGGTTCTATGAAGTTCTGATATTCTGACAGTGTAGGATTGGAAGGTTTCTGATTCTCATTCTGTCTGTCCCTGGGGTAGCAGACAGTGTTGGCAGAGGAAGAATATAGTTCAGGTGTTAAAAGAATATCAGTAATGTGACGACTCAAGCCAAGACCAGCTGCAGACTAATTATGGCTTCTGTGTCTGAGCTCCTTATAACTTCCTAAACTCTTTTACAGATGTATTGTCCACCCTCCCCTTTTGCAGAACTCATTCAGTCTAGACCTTTCTTCTCTGTCTCCACTCCCTCTTGGGCACTCCTGGGTCTTTGCATCTTACATAGGCTGATGACTCTAGCTCTCATCCTCACCTGAGTCCCAGAATCATGGTTTAACTGCTTGTGGTGGGAAAGGAGCATAGACTCCACAGTCAGAGGCCAGCATTCAGGTCCCAACTCATGTCACCTATGGCCTCTTGTGACCTGAGTGAGTTATTTAACCTCTCTGCTCACTCTTCCTGTTTAGCTGTGAGTTACTTCATAGAAACATTGAAATCGTGACTGGTATGTTATTCCTAGAATCTCCATTTGGATATGTAATAGATATTTTGATTTAACACAAAGCAAATTTTTTATTTTTCTTCTCCCCAAACTATTCTTCCTCTTTGCCATTCCAGCAAATTGACATTAGCATCTATCTGGTTGCTTGGGCCAAAACTTCCCATCCAGTCCCTGTCCATCTTATCTTCAAAATACATTTCAAGTATGTCCACTTCTGTACATCTTTACTGTCACTCTTCCCTACTCCCATCTCTCTCAAAGTGTGGCCACATCTCAGGTGGCTCACTGGAGTGTTCCAGCCGCCACTTGCTTCCTCTCTTTATAACCTTTGCACCAGAGAGGAGCTGGAGTGTCATCTTTGTTGTATTATATAACCCTTGCTATCTTAAAGCCTTTGAGTAGCTGCATGGCAAATAAAATGTGCATTCTTTACCAAGGCCTGCAAGACCAGGCACAATAGCTGTCTTCCAGTTCTCCTCCTGTCCCAAACTCATCTCTGTTAGTCGCCTTTCAGCTGTCTGAGCAAGCTAAGCTCATTTGCTTCTTAAGGCCCTGGTATTCCCTCTGCACCAAGATACTTAACACAACTGTTTCTTCATGTCATCTGAATCCCATCTCAGACAGGACTTCTTCAGGGAGGCCTGTGAACTACTCAGTTGGAAGTAGCCATTGCCTCACATTACTTTCTGGGCTGTTGGTGGTGTTTCCATATCCCCTGGTTTTCTTTTTCCATAATTATTGTTTAATCTATCCCCTCCCTGAACCATATAGGCTCTGGGAGTAGGGATTTCCTTGGTTTAAATCATCTGCTGTATCTAAATGAGTTATTAAACAGTACCTGGCATATAGTTAACACACAGTTGTAGAGTAAATGTTAACTTAATGAACAATTGTGGGAGTAGCAGAACAGGTGGTATTTTATACATTTTAACATATAAGGGATGACATCTCGCATATGTTTCTTCTTACCCATGTTCACAAAGTGCCTCTCTGGCAGAAGCAGGACTCAAACTCAGTTTGTTTGGGTTTCTCTCTGCATCACTGGGGACAGGCCCAGACAGTGCAACAGGTTCTAGCTGAACCTGCCCAGGATGGCTCTTGGAATTGTTTTCCTTTTCAGGTTTCAGTAGAGCCCATAAGTATGTGCTAAGGGATCTTTGAATCAGTCTAAAATGTCTCCACTCTGAGGTTATATAAAAAATCGTTCTGCTGCTGCAGGGTGTATCCAGCTTAAGATTGGGCAAAGCCAAGGCACTAGGGGAGGTGGGAAGACCACAGAAGGCTGTGAGCTTGGACGGTGCTGTGCACAAGGCAGGTGCCTCAGGGTCCCATGGGGAGCAAAGGACTGGGTGCCACAGCCCTCCCCTCCTAGGCTCAGCCTGGGGGCAAAGACACCATGTATGAATGAATAAGAAGGCAGGATTTTAAATGTTACAGAAAGAAGTTTGGAGGAAGGTATCCAGAAAAGAATACCAAAAGTAAAGAAATAAAAAACAAATGGTATTAAATAAGTAAACATAAATAAAATCAATAATATGGGTAAAATAAAATAGAAATGAAATTTAAAAAAATTGAATGTTGTTTAACTAAAGAAGGTTAGGTTTTGTTTAGATATTGGAGAAAGATTATCAATAATAGTTTTATTTTGATAGAGATAGAAACTAGGAGAAATGAATTCCAGGTGGAGACTAGAGAATTTGTTTCTGTGTAAAGTATTGGGATGGGCTAGGAAGGAAGGTATGTGATTCTAGGGATTATGTATTTACATATCTGAGAGCTGGGAGTGAAGGCTGACAGGGTATGTGACAGCTCTAATTGATAGAAGTAAACATCAGTAACTTAAAGGAATCTGTGGTGTTTCTTTGGACTCTCAAACTAAAGAGTTTGTTTACAGCATGATTTCTGGTGGCCCTTTGCCTGTGAACTAATTCTACTTGTTGACTTACAGAAAGAAACTGCATGTACGTGTGTGTGTTCATGCGTGTGCATGTGTGCATGTGTGTGGAAAAGCTCACACTGAGGCAGCTGTTCAAATGTTGCCTTTGAGTTTTTTGAATAGGTCTTTCAATGGTTTTTAATATCAAAAAGTATAAACAAAAATGTAGAGTAAAATCTCTCGCAATTTTTTGTCCCCTTAGTGCTTAATTCTCACATATTCTGCTTTTAAGTTGTGATTTTATCCTTCCAAAGACTTTTCATGCATATACAAGGGCACACACACACACACACATACACATTTATACATATAAACCTCTGCACTGTCCACTGTCCTCAGCATTTACAGTGGTGCTTGATATAGAGTAAGCACCCAGAAACTTTGTCAGATGAAAGAATTTTTATACTATACTGTTTGTGTTACCAAACATTCACTAAGAATACATGTTTTGTTCTAGGAAGAAATGAATAATATATAACATTTTACTTTTTATGTTTCATGTGTATGTGTGTGTTTTTTTGTTTGTTTTTTAGCCCCCTGTGCTGTCAGGAATCTGCAGGACTTGGCTCGCATTTACATTCGACGCACACTTAGAAATTTCATAAATGATGAGATGCAGGCCAAGGGGATTCCTCAGAGGGCTCCACCCAAAAGGAAAAGAAAGCGAGTTAAGCAGAGAATTAACACCTACGTATTTGTGGGTAATCAGCTTATTCCTCAGCCTCTAGACAGTGAAGAGGATGAAAAAATGGAAGAGGATAACAAAGAAGAGGAGGAGAAAGACCATAGTGAAGCCATGAAAGCAGAGGAGCCCCCTCAGAATTTACTGAGAGAAAAAATCATGAAGCTCCCTCTCCCCGAATCTTTAAAAGCTTACTTGACATATTTTAGAGAAAAATAACTTAGATCAAGAAAGAATGCCTACTGATAATTCCTTTAGTCTTGAAAATGTAGCATTTGCTAGGAGATAAAGGAGAGAGAATTCTTTCTTTCATCAGAGCAAATTATAGTGGAAAATATAATTTGTTTCTGTTTTAGTAATAAAAATGATTATTCAGTGATTAAAACCTTTTATAAAATATATTTTCTTTAAATCTTGGAAAAGTTGCTGTTTTAACTCAGAGTGACTTCAAGAGTGGAATGCAACAATAGTCAAGACTTTGTGTACTGTAAATCCTTTTCTGACTCCTTACAGATTTGTAGTGGTGAGGGTTAGATTTAATTTTATATACGGTTAAATAATGTTAAGCATATACTAATTTGAATTGCTGTTGTTTGCATTTCCTTTGAAAACTTTCTTACCTAATAAGGAAATCGAATACTTTGTAGACCCAGTAACCTTACTTTTGTTGCAATCACTGTTGCTGAGTTGTGATAGATGTATTCCGGGCAATATATGAGTGCAATAACAATACAGATACTGAATAATTTAGCTTTAAAAAAAAACAAAGAATTTTTCATGGAATTCAACAGCACTGCTATTTTTTGCTTTTGACTCTATTGCCAAAAGACATGGGGAAAATATCTGCTTCTCTCATAGAGATTTTAAGAGCACATCAGTGAATATTAAAGTTAGAAGTACATACTTAATACAATTTTTAATTTGTATGGACCCTTTACATTTTCAGTATTTAAAAATAATGAGGTTATCTTACTCACTGGAGTTTTAGAAGATAGTATATTTAGGATTTTTTTTTCCTATAGTCTATAAAGTATTCAGTTTAAAAATCCATTGTCCCATATGACTGTCCATGGCACAGGCAGTGAGTGAGTGAGTGAGTGAGTGACAGCTCCTTTCTGGGGTTACACGCAGCAGCAGGGCCAGAGCAAATGAGGTCAGCAGGCGCACTTTAGCGAATGGAACTTTCAGCTCATCTGAATATTCATCTTTGACAACGTAGAGCTGAGCTAGACATTCATAAAAATTGTATGTAGATGCTTTATGCTTTGAAAATCTGGTTCAGAATCATAGTGTAATCTTTGGGACCTATGTTGTGCTCATTTAACTTACTTTTTTTTTTGTAAAATCATTTTCATTTTCATTTTTTGTTTAATACCACATACTTAAAACTGTTCATCATTTGAAAGGTCATTGTAGCTTAACAGTGATAAGACAGGTAGTAAATGCCATTATTAGTTTTGTTTCTTCCTAGTAGGGCCTGAAAACAGTCATTCCTTGTTAAGAAAGTATACAGTGTGACATATTTACTACTTAATGTTACATGGATTATATATTTTTTAAAAGGAAAAATTTGAGATATCACTTATTACCACCAGCAACACTGTTAAAATAGCTGATCAGATATGCTTAAGGAAACCCAGTGGCTATATAGTAAAAGGATTATTATCTCTCTGCACAGATTCAATTATTGTTAATATATAGATGGTTTCAAAAAGCTCTGGTAAATTCCACACCTCTAAAAACAAGTGTTTGAAATATTCTAAGCATGAATCATACCAAGTAAATGAGGATATTTTAGTAATGTGAAAGGTAATTTCATGGATGGTAGTTTTATAGCAGTGGCTATGGCAAAGGGTTAGGAGCTGGGGGGTAGCTCCACAGTTTTTCTAGATTAGTACTAAGGTGTTAAGAAATGGCCCATCTAATTTCTATCAAGGAAAAAAAGTTTCATATAGTCATCTATTAGAAATGTTCATTTTATTTTGAATTAAATGTTAGTTTCAGAAGTTTAGTCTTGGATTCCTGGTACCTACATATTTTTATCTAACCCTCCCCCTATACACACACTTTGTCGTTTTGGAGCTGGTGTCCAGATGTGTACACATACATACTCTTGAATGATAATTTTACTAATCAGGAATAAGTTTTGGTTAAGGATATATTTGAAGTTTCACTTTTATATACTGTCACTCATGCTGTTGACCTCGGCAAAGTGTGTATTTTCATCATCATTACATATTTTTTGTCATTGAAGTGTATCTTTTGTGTTTTTAAATGCATACATTTTATAGTTGTGACTTTATTATTGACTTTAAATAATGAAGTAGAAATAAAAAGTGAAAATTCAAGTGAAAGCCCTTTCATCTATTAATGGGAATATATTAGAATGATTAAGAATATTTGGGTTTGTATTTTTATTTAATGGCTTCATGTTTACTTGAGTATGCATAATTTATAGGTAGAGAAGTAACAAATAAAGATGAGGTAAAATTAATCTGAGGAATATATTCATGGGGTCTTACAGCCAGATAAAACAAAAAGAAATAATGTAGTAATCTAGCCTTTTTATTTTGCAGAGAGACAATAGGCCTAGGAAGGTGGCATGATTTTTATAAGTCAGCTAGTTGAAGACAGCTTGAATAGCATCCAGCATATGATAAATCCCAAGAAACTGTTAACACCGTAATTACTAAAAAGATACTTTAAATCTGTACTGCTTATTGGTCAACATATGTGGTTGTAGTGTTCAAGAAAGATGTCATTAAAATAGTATACATAATGGTTAAAATTAAAAAATGTAAATGTTGGTTTCTAGCTGTTCAGGAGGATAAAAATGAAGCAAAAGCTGTTAATTATGGGAAGACTTGGAAAATTATTTTAAATAAACTGTTGCATATAATTAAGCATCATTCTCCAGTGGCCTGGCTTCTTTTCCTCTTCCTTTTTATTTTAGAAACTCTCCATTTACCTAGGAATATATGCTGAATTATAGTATACAACTATCTGTATTTGGACATCTCAGTTCCTGTTGACTATTGCCACCTCTGACGAGAGAAGAGCTTTTTAAAAATTTACTTTTATAAAATGCTCAGTAAATATGAAGGATATTTGTAAGGTATGTGTAAAGTATAGGGAATAACAGTTCAGGATACAGCGAAGTATGTGTGCACACCGACCGTGTGCGCACCGACTGTGTGCGCACCGACCGTGTGTCCGGTGTTCCTCCTGTGTGCCCCTTCCCCATCTCATCTCAGTCCTCCCTTCTCAGGTAACCCTTGTGTGTTTAACAGGGAAATTGTATTTGGCTGTACTTTTACCACACATGCTTGTATCTCCAAACAGTACATTATTTTGTTTCATACATGCTTGACTTCGTATAAAGGGAACCATACTGCCTACATTCTTCTCCAGCTCTCCTTTTCACTCCACATGACCTTTCTGTGATTGGGTCATATGGCAAACAGTTATGTTACATTTACAACAGGTTTAATTATTCATTCTACTGTTGGTGGACATTTGTTCCCCCCAATAGTTCAGTTGTGAACATTTTTCAAAATGTCTTCTGGCTGTATGTGTGCCAGTCCCCTTAATGTGTACATCGAGGAGTAGAATTACTGGGTCATAGAATATGTTTATAGTCACTTGTACTAGATGGTGCAAATTTCTTTCCCAAAATAGTGTAACAATGTATGTTCCTTCCAACAGTGTTTAAATGTTCCAATCACCCATATCCTCACCTACCTTTGATAATGATTTTTGTCTGTTTGGTCGTGTGAATTGATATAGGGACTTCATTACTTATTAAGAAGGTTTTTTGTCTATTCTAGTATTTCTCAGTTTTAGGTTTCCTTTTTGTGAAGTTCCCATACTAGTCTTCTGTAAACTTTTTAATGGGTAGCTTTTTAAAAATCTGCTTGTAGGAGTTCGTTATTTAGTCTGGATATGATGCGTTGTCAGTAGATCATATGATGTACTGCAAATATCTTTTCTAAGTTTGAGTTTTCTGTTCTCATTCTATTTATGGTGTTTTTTGATGAATTGGCATGTTCAGTTCTAATTGTGTCAGATTTGTCTTCCCACATCCTTAATCCCAAGATAAGGAAAATATTAGCCTGTATTTTTTTACCAGTTCTGTGGTTTTTGTCTTTCACACTTTAGTCTATAGTACTCCTGCTCTTAATATTTGTGTAAAGTGAGAGATACAAATCTAGTTTCTCTTTCTTTTTACTTAGTTGATCAGTTGTTACAGCATCACTTTTTGAAAAATCCCTTTTTCCTCCTCTGATCTGCAGTGTTAACTTAGTCATAATTAAGCTTTCATATGTTGTCCTCTGTGTCTAGGCTTTCTTTTTTATTTGTCAACTTACAGATCCCTGTACTAACAACTATAGATTTATAATAATTCTTGATCTAGTAAGGTTAAGTCCCTCCAACTTGTATTTCAGGAGTTTCTTGGCTATTCTTGGACCATTAGACTTGATATACATCTTAGAGTGAGCTCAGACTACACAAACACATACATGTCCTTTTGGGATTTTCTTTGGGATCACATTGAATTTATAGATTAATTTGGGTGAGAATTAGCATGTATGATATGGAGTCCTCTAATCCATGAATGTGGTACTTTTGTTAGATTTACTTTTACATATCATATTTTTCCATGCTGGTGTATTTATTAAAGTTAAATCTTATCTTGCTCTTTATTGATTTTTGTACATGATTTGAATCTAACACTATTATGATTCTTTTAAATTTAGACACATCATTAAATTAGAAACAGCTTATTTTTTCCTTTGGGTTTTATTTTTTTATTTTGTTAGATGTCCTGACTGGGCTTCCAGTATAGTGCTGAACAGAAGTAATGAACAAGAGCAGCCCTCTTGCATCATTTCCCCTCTATTGCCATTAAGCCCTTCTGTTGAGCTTTAATGTAATAAATGGCTTGGTGTGCTTATAAAGACTCTGTATTCTGCAGGTCAGTGTAGTGTTCTATAAAAGTCAGTTGAATCAAGTTTTTAATTGTCCCAATCTAAGATAGTCTAAATTTTGTGCCCACACCATGTATCAATTTTTGGCAATATCTGTCACTTTGATGATGAAATGTCAGTTCCTTCTTGTAGTTCCTTCAGTTTTTGCTTTGTAGATTTTGATATACTTTGTGATACTACACTTTAGGTTTGCTGTATCTGCTGATTTGAACCTCTAACATTCTATATGAACCCTCTTTATATTCTTTGCTTCAAAGTCTACTTGGCTTGATACTCATATCCTTGTTAAGTATATCTTTATAATTTTTACTTTAATCTTTTATATGTCCTTAATGCTGCTTTTTAACAGCATATAGCTGAGTTTCTTTAAAAATATTTTGATAATGTTTGAATTTTACTTGAAGCATCTATCCACTTAGGTTCATTTTAGGTATTTGGTATTTAGCATATTTTGTGCTATACATCTTTTTTTTTTTTTAGTGTTTTTGTTTTCTCATTTTCCTGTTTTTTCTTTTTTAAGGATTATTGTTTCCTTATTTTTTGCCCATTGCTCTTTTTTTCCCGCTTTTTTAAATTGTTACTGTTGACATCTAATACACTTTCCAAACTTACCAAAGTCTTAAGTTATTTACTACACTGTCTTCCTCCTGTGTGCTGCAAGGTACTTTTGAGCATTTTAACTGTGAAGTCTTCACCTGAAAATTACATGCTAGTGTACCATGTGTTTTATTTCTAAATTTTTAAGCCCCTCTACTACACCACTGCTGTTCTCTAATCAATGTCTGATTAGCTTTGTTCCCCAAGTTTTTCTTTTTTGCCCATTATAACTTGTTGAATTTTAAATCATCCTGATTTCCTTTCGCCTAAAGTACATCCTTCTGCATTTCTTTTAGTGGAAGATTGTAGGTAGCTAACTTAGTTTTGTCTGTCTGAAAAAAGTTTGTCTCTGTTCTTGAAAAGTAAGTCCATACAGTTTTAGATTGGCAGTATTTTTCTCTAGGTCAATGAAGCTAACCAACTTCTCTTCATTCTGTCTTTCATTATAGCTATTGAGAAGTCAACTGACAGCCATTCCTTTGAGTATTGTCTGTCTTTTATCTCTGCTTTAAAGATGTTGTCTTGACATTGTTAATATTTTTGTCTAGGCTTCTTAATCTCTGTGGATTCACATAATGTGCCTATATGAATTTTCTTTAGTTCATTATACCTCTGAGTCTTGAATCCTTAATAATTCAAACATATCTTCCAATCACTAGTTCTCCCTTCAGTTGCTTTAAATCTGCTGTTAAGCCCTTATACTGAGTTTTAATGTCTTAAATTTTCATTTCTAGTTGTGCTTTTTAAGTCTACTTGGATGTTTTTGTAATTTTCTGCTTTTTATTGATGTGTTCCATTCTCTAGTTATACTGAACTTAATTATTTTATATTCAATATCTAATTCCAATGTCTGGACTCTAAGGTGGGCCGCTCTTCTCATGATGCTTCTGATTGCTAGCTTTCCTACTGTTTATTTTGTGGGTTTTGACTGAGCTTGACTTGTAGAATCTGTGAGAATCACTAGAGGCCTGGATTCTTTCGCCAGAAGTACTGCTAGCTCGTGACCTCTTAAAATCCTCTATTAAGGGTTTCAGACCACTTAGGTAGGGTGGCCTGGAAATTCATGTGAAGGCTAATTTGGGGATATTACATCTCTAGGGGAGATTTTACTCCCTTCGCATAGCAAGTTTTCAAATAGTCAATTTTTCTTTCACTCTGGATGGATGTAGAGAGAGGGTAAGATGGATTATTTCTACTTGATCCTTAATATGATGGAAATGCAGATTTTCCAGTTAAGACAGCCTCCTCTTGGGAAAGGGCCTTTTCCTCTGTACTCCTGTGGCCCCAGAGTCGAGTTTCACTTTGTTATAAGCAAATACTCCCAAGATGAACCAACTTTGTGCTTACTTGCTGGCTTCTCATTTTCACTTCATTTATGGACTCTTGGATATGTCTGAGGAACTTCCTTACTCAACACATTGATGCATTAAAAAAATGTATTTTATCTAGCATATGTAGTAGTTTGCTGGTGTCCTAAGAGAGCTGTCCTAAAGCATTGGAAAGAACCTAGAGTCTACAGCAGCTGTGTCATTCATGTGATTCTTCTCTGTGCTCGCATTTCTTTGTCCTGTACCCAGTGTTTAATCAGTAGATTCTCTTTCTCATTCATTGTCAGTTTAGGTTTCTAAAATAGAAAGGTTTTAGGCTTCCCTTCTGGAAAAATGCTCTGAATACAGGCTTATATTCATTACATTTTGAACTGAAAACACAATGCACAAACAGGTCCTTCAAATCACAGACCAATACTGGAAAGAGCACAGTAATTATAAGAAGAGTGGAAGGAAGAAACTGGCTTTTCAGGTTTATTTCTGTACTTGGACAATGAGAGACACATGAACAATGTCAAGCCTACTTCAAGTTTCATTTACTTTAAAATTTTTTCAGAGAGAATTTTTCCCTTCTGATCTTTATTTTAATAAAACCTTCACATGTTTAAATTTGAACAGTTTGCCAAAAGAGGGCAGTATTCACCTACAGTAAAATGTAAAGGGACTGAAGAATTACTGGAAAGAAGGCAGGTGAATGAATTTTTTCTCATAAGGCTGGTAAAATTGGCCAAAACTAGCTGGTGAGTCATTAGATTCGTCTCCCAGTCTGGTCATTTGGGATTGTTGCCTAAATTGGGCCATCCTAGTTTTATTTTGTTTTCCTATTACGTTTTTATTACATTTTTTTAAAGTGTTAGTTTAAGGATGAGATTTGTTTGAAATTTTATTCTTAAAGATAAAACCAAAAACCTAAACACCTATGTACAGAGTGACCCCGAAGTACATGTTTAACTGCAGGGCATATTTATTGGAAAAGCCTGCTGTTATGAGTGTCTC